TTGCTTCTCTCACTCTTAGGCTGTGATTAGCTCTTTTTCTAGCCAGTGACAAAATATACCTCTCCCTGCTCTTCTGCTTCTGAATCCGCTCAGGTGTGGAGACCTCTTCGGTCCTGCCCCCAGTCTGCCTCTGGCCACTCCTCAGCTGCTGCTTCTCTTGAATCTTTGCTAGACTACACCACCGTCTTCCATGTCACCCAAAAGCTTGGAGCTTCAGGGTCATCTCTGACTCATCTAATCGGTTCCCAAGTCTGTCGCTTCTACTTTGTCATCTCTTGGCTCTGTTCCCTCCGCTTCATTTCCGCTGTCCCACCATCACCCTCCTTCTCAGTGCATCCTGGTTATGTGACAGTTCCTCTGCTGCAAACCTCACGCCCCCTCCCGTGTGCAGGGCGGGCCTGCTGCGGTTGTCTGCCGGCCTTCCGCCCCCTCTCCGCTCCGTCCTCCCCCCACCTTACTGTTTTATACTGCGACAGGCATTCGTTTTAAAATTGTTTTACAGAAGTGCAGACAATATATTGGAAGGACTTGGACCAGGTAGCTTTCTCTGCATTTCTCCGCTTTGCCTGTGCCCTTCCTGTGGTTTGAAATGTGTCCCACGCTCCTCCTGCGCCTGGAACTTGTCCTCATTCTTCAAGACTCCCCACCCCAGTAGCACGTTGAATGTCACCTCCCTGGCAGTGCTGCTCAGGCACATTTCCGCTCCCTGAGAAGAGGATTCTCTGGTCTCCCATCTCCCTAGAGCCCGGCACCCAGTGTACATCGATTGTCAACTGAGACGTTTTCAGCCTGGAATAACTTAACTTCGTTCTCTTTTCTCTTTGTCTTTTAATAATTTGGTTATGTGCTTTTCATCATTGCCTTTAGTTTGTACTATTATAGAATTAGGGGGAAAAAAATTAAACCTCGTATCTGTGAGCTTAGTGTGTGTATTAGGAGGGTTGTTTTTTTTCCTCTTTAGAAAAGTAAAGCATATTTATTACAGAAATTCGACAAAAGGCAAAACCTGTGAAAAAGAATCGAAAGAGTCATTGATCTTCCACTTAGTGAAAAGCACTGTTGAGAGTTCGATGTGTTTCCTTAGAGTCTTCTTTCTCTGCATAGGTATATAGGTTTTTACTTTTACATGGTTCAGAATATGCAATACGATAGTTCTCAAAAGCTTTGGAGCTCAACTCACATGAAGCAGAGGGGCCCCGAGTCCACAGCCCGCCCGCTCCTGTTCCCTGCAGGGAAGAAGTTCGGGGACCGGGAGCCGGGTGGGAGGGCGCTGTTGTGAGCGCCGCTGCCCTTTAAGCCAGACGTCGTGTGAGCGCGACCACCTGTCGTCCCATGTTCTGGAAACGCGACTTTGAGTGGCTGCGTCCTGTTCCGTGACTTGGCTCTGTCACAGACTGTTTAGCTGTCCCCCTGTTGTCGGGCCCCCGTGGATTTTCTCCTGACGTCCTTAAAATGAAGAAGCAGGTTAGCCAGGGAGGCATTTTGAGAGCTTCAGATCTAGTTCGACCGGGGTTCAAGTCTTTGTTCTGCCATTTGCTCCTCGGCGAACCAAGGGTGATGACGGGAGCCGCCCTCCGGGGTGACTGCGGGGTGAAGGGACACCTGCACGTGAGGCCCGCGTGGGGCGCCCGCACGGAGGAGGGCTCAGTGCTTGCTGGTCGTCGCTGTCGGCTTCGTCCGCGGTATGTTTCGTCTTCCTGTCGCCAGAGAGACTTTACCATTCAGTGTAAAAATCCGTGACATTTTTTCTTTCCTTCCCAGCTTTTCAATTTGAAAATGGTAAAACCCATTGAAAAGTTGAAAGGGTGATGCAGTGATCACCCAGTGTTCACCAGTGGTTGACATTTTGCCACGTTTCCATTTCTTCTCTTGATTTTTCTAGTTGTTGAACCGTTCAAAAGTCAGCTGCATGCAACATGTCACTTCACTCCTAAAATCTCGGCATATGTCCCTAAGCTCAAGGATTTTCTCCTCTATAACTGTAATAACATTATCACTTTTATGGATATTGGCATTAACTCAGTAACATTTCATATACAGTCTACATTTAAATGTACTCAGTTGAATTAAAACTCTTGTAGCTGAGTTTTTGTTCTAGGATCTGATCAGTATTCACATTGCATCTGGCCGCTGCCTCTTCATCTCGTTTAGTCCGGAACAGTCTCACGGCTCTGTTTCTAATGACGACCTTTATGAAGAGTCTAGACAGTTGTCCCCTTGTGTGCTGTGCTGTCTGTACCTGCCACCATCATCAGCCCCTTCTGACACCACCTGTAGCTGCCCCGGCACGGGCTCCTCTCCGAGCAGTGGGCTGGGACGGAAGGCGTGGGGTCCCTGCCTGGACAGAGCCACCTGGGCATTGGGCCTGGGGCTCTGTAGCATTCCACCGAATGAGTAGTGAATTATGGGTTAGACTTTCGTCCCCTGGCCCTGACTAACTTGTGCTGAACTTGCACTTCCATTAGGGAAAGCCCATGCTGCCACCATCCCGTCTCTCCCTCTCTTACTCGTGACAGAAGTCGCCATTGTGACCCGTCTCCTCACAGTAGTCCAGACAGTCACTTCTGGCCTATCGAAGGTGACACTGCAGATGAAGCTCGTTTGCTGGGCCTTCCTGGAGTAGTTCAGAAGTCGTGTCCTTGTTTTCGCGTCTGTCCCGTACACCTTGGCACTTGGCTTGTTCCGGCAAATAATGTATTGCATCATCACTTTCAAGG